TGTCTTTTTGAGACAGAGTCTTCCTGTAGCCCCAGTTGGCCTGGAACTTGCTATGTAGACCAGGCTGGCCTCAAACTCAACAGAGATTCACCTGCCTCTGCCTCCTGAGTGTCGGAACTAAAGGCATTTAAAAAATGTATATATATTGTGAAGTTGTATTGAAAGTTCACAGAAACCAAGCTGAAGAAACTCACAGACTAAGGATAACTACAATGGAGGGCCAGAATGTAGCCCTGATTTCAGTCTCCACCACTGCATAAACCAGAGGTAGTGGTGCCTATAATCCCAGCGCTCTGGAGATGGAAACAGGAGGATCAGAAGTTCAAGGTCATCTTCAGCTATGTTATGAAGTCAAGGCCTGCCTGAGATACCTAGTTCCAGGGGATCTGACAGCTCTTCTGTCTTCCTCGGGCATTGCACAACACAGGTGTACTTACTTACATAAAGGCAATATACGCATACACATAAAATAAAAATAATTTAGTTCCAGGGGATCTGACAGCTCTTCTGTCTTCCTCGGGCATTGCACAACATGGGTGTACTTACTTACACAAAGGCAATATACGCATACACATAAAATAAAAATAATAAAAAAAAAAGAAAGAAAGCAGGCTGAGCAGGGGCCAGGGGAGCAAGCCAGTAAGCAGCATTCCTCCATGGTCTGTGCTCCAGCTCCTGCCTCCAGGTTCCTGCCCTGAGTTCCTACCTTGGGCTCCCTCAGTGATGAACTGTGACCTGGGAGCTGTAAGTCATATAAATGCTTTCCTCCCCAAGTTGGTATTGGTGAGAGTGTTTTGCACAGCAGTTGAAAAGAAACTAGGACAGCAGCCCAGCACAGGAAGCTGCTGGACCTGGTCCCCTCTTCCCTCCTTTCCTCTCCTCCAGGTTCCTGCCCTGAGTTCCTACCTTGGGCTCCCTCAGTGATGAACTGTGACCTGGGAGCTGTAAGTCATATAAATGCTTTCCTCCCCAAGTTGGTATTGGTGAGAGTGTTTTGCACAGCAGTTGAAAAGAAACTAGGACAGCGGCCCAGCACAGGAAGCTGCTGGACCTGGTCCCCTCTTCCCTCCTTTCCTCTTTCTTTCTACTTCCCTCTTTTGGAAGCCCTGGGCTTCCAAACCTCACAGGAATAGGAGTGGAGACTTAGGAACCCAAGGAGATGTGAGTGATGGCCTCCTCAAAACCCTGAACTCCCTGAATTTATTAACCAGCTACCCCAAACCCCAACCTCCAAGGACTCAGGCAACTATTTTCTGCATGGCTCCTGCATTTATAAAGGTTAGACTGTCCCCCAAAAGCTCACATCACGGGAGGGCCAGAGGAGCAGAGAGTGAGGGACTGGCCTTTGCCTTAGGAGACACTGCGTCTGGCTTCCTTATGGCAGAGGCTACGAGGGATGCAGTCGTTTAGCTCTGCATGTAGAGAGGGAGAGGCCTGGGAGCTATGGCCTCAGCCGAGATCCTGAATCGTAAGTGGTAGAGACTGTTCTGCAGGAGAAGGCTTCCGAGAAAGCAGGGCTCCTAACGACATGGGCCTGTGGGTCTCCAAGGGGCTGGAAGGTGACCAGAATCCTTGTGTCGCCATCCCATGCTGAGTAGAGAGCTATGGGAAGTCAGCTCAGTGTACCTGGAGCTTCCCTGTGCCCATGGAGGTAAATTTCATTCCTCACATTGAAGTTGTTTCCATAAGATGGGGAGACACCTACCTAAACCCAGGGCCAGTGGAAAGCCTGACTTTGGGACACCAGGCTTAGCACAGGAGGGAGCTTCCTGGGGGAGAACCATGAATAGCTGACCTAGAGGGAAAAAGGGCCAAGAGTTACAAGGCAGAGAGCTGGCCTGGAGGAGCCTGTGAAAAGGCCTGGGGTGGGAGAGTTCATGGTGCTGGAAGACACGGCAGTCTGGGGTGTGGAAGCACAGACGCTACAATGGCATGGCATCCCACGAGTCTATTGTAAGTTGAAGATACAATGAGCTGGAAAGTATTTAATAACCCAACCAGCTGAGCCCACAGTGGCCCCCAGCCTGTTAGGAAGGCGCAGACGTTTCCTAGTGACAGTAAGGTTGACCTGAACTGAGGTTCTCCACCCAAAGCAGCTTCCTGCTTGCCTGCCTAAGGAGCGAATCCCAGCCCGCAGGGACAGACCACCATGCCAAATGTATGGCACAATTTCTATTCTCTGTGTTGAATTTAAATCACAGCAGATGCACCACCATCATCGTAAGTTAGGGGCTGTGATGTCTGTTTTGAACTGTCCACTTGAAACAACCTAGAATCACCTGAGAACCTCAGTTGAGGACTTGTCTAAATCAGCCTGGCTTGTGGGCATGTCTGGGAGGATTGTCTTTATTGTTAGTCGATATAGGAAAATCCATCCCACTGCAGTCAGGACCATTTCCTTAGCAGGGGGGTCTGAACAGTAGGAGAAAGCCAGGCGGGAGGAAGGGAGGCAGGAAGGACTGCCCTGGCTCTGCTCTTGAGCAGATGTGCTGTGACCAGCTGCTCGACCTCCCTGAAATGACAGACTATAATTTGGAATCATAAGCCAAATTAACCCTTTCGTCTCCTCTGTTGCTTTTTGTCAGGATATTTGTCACAGCAACAGAAACAAAACTAGGTGTCCATCCACCGTGGGAGAGCAGGCACTGTGCCTAGAGCAGAAGATTCCCAAAAGGAAGGGCAGGGTGGGTGGTGACCAGAGAGCAGCTGAGTTGAGTCCAGAACGCTGGGTACTAATTGCTGCCTTAGTCAGTCCATTCTGTTCTTTTTTTTAGACAGGGTCCCCCATAGCCCCAGCCAATCTGAAACTCACTATGTGGATCAGGCTGACCTCAATCTCATAGATGATGATACACCTGCCTCTGACTCCCAAGTGCTGGGATTAAAGGCATGCCTCACCAAGTCCGGCTGGTCAGTCCATTCTGGAGTCTGTCACAGAGTCCAGTTGTCACAGTGGTCCTGGTCTGGGCAAGTGGCAGGCAGGTAGCTGAACTCTGCAAGAGGAAATCAGAAAAGATGGCAGAGGAGGGGACATTGGGATACTCCCAGAAGAATGCAGGACCCAGCTTGTTGGTCTGGGTCCAACTCCAACCTGCTTGAAGCTATACCAGATGCTCCTGTTCTCCCCACAGGGGATTGGGCTGAACTCCCATGGCTGCCCCTCCTCCTGCAGATGTAACTGGTCATTGCAGTAGTACAAGGGTGGACTTGGTCAGAGGTCTCAATCCCTGGGTGATGAATTTGGTGCCTGGGCATATCAGATGACCTAACTTTCTTTAAATTTTCTCTCAATGACATTTTGAAAAGACACTTGCTGCTGTCTCCATTTGGAGGTTGAATTTGAGTAAAGGGAGTGGAATTGTTCTCTGGTATGTGGTGAGGGAGGGACAGAGGCAGAGCACAGCTGCATGGGGTGGCTGGTCTGATTCTGGTCCTGTGGAGATCTCCCTACCCTGTTCCACACAGTATATGCACTGAACTCTCTTTTTTTCCAGACAAACTGCTGTCTGGACATGGGCCCCGAGGGGACAGCAGCTGGAGGAGGTCAGTGCATCTCTCAGTGGCATGTCTGTATGTTCAGTGAAACCAGGCCAGGTGGGAGGGTACAAACCTCCCAATGTCAAGTTTCTTCCCCTCCCTTTGCCACTTTCCCAACCTCACCACCCCACAGTGTCAGAACACACTGGAAAAATCAAGAAGCTCAAATTCCTCAGCCCTGGGTGTTCATCCCAAGTCAATTAAAAGCCGAGGGGACAGGTGTGCTCACCTCATACCCTCAGTGTTTTTAGCTGACCTGTGCACTCAGTGGAATAGAATGCAGACATGTTACACGAGAACACCACCTTAACAGGGCAGGATCACATTAAAAGTTCAGTGGACACTTGTGTTTGCCGCACGCCCTCAGTGCTGTTAACTAACCCAGGCACTCAGTGGAATGGACAGTCACCGGGGTGAGAACATGGTGCAGCAGGCGGGAGTGATGGTGCTGCATTCAGTTTAGAAATTTAGGTAGGACATGGAATGTACATCACGTACATGCACACCTGCCTTTCATCAGCAGCTCAGGCTAAGGCATCCACTACACTATTAACTGTGCTTCCTCAGAGGAATGAGTGAGTTTTGTTGCTGGTTCATTATCTTTATTATGACAAAGAAATTAAGATGGTAGTGGACCAGAGAGAAATCTTCCTGGGCCTTGAGTGATGCTTCCTAGCAGCATGGGGCTGGATGGCAGGCATGATGCTGGGCAGGGGCTTCTGGAGGCTTGTTTAGGATTACCTGCTCAGGAGGACTACTTAGCTCTCAGGAGGACTAACACTCAGATCTGTTCATCCGGTGGCCCTTCCACTAGATTCTGTTCTCAACAATCCTGTGATCTTAAACAAGCTAACTAACCTCTCTGAGCTGCATACTGTTATTTTCAAAAGGATAATATGGCTTTCCTATCCAGTGCCATGCACATAGCAAGTATCAGTACACAAGAAACAGGCCATTTCCCTCATCAGGACAGACTGTCTTCTTTACTTCCCACTGAGGCCTGACCTGGCCCCTGTTTCCACATTAAAGGAGCTATAAATTCTGGCTGGTCCCACTTCTGCCGTTAGTTTTCTGGGTGATCCTGGGCAAGCCTCCTTGCCTGGGCTCAGCCTCCTCACCCGTCAGAAAAGGAAATGCTTGAGACCGATGATACTATTTGCACTGGATTTCTGGAGGCTGTTGGATGCCACCTGAAGGGTGCAAGTGAAGACCAGGAAGGCAGGAGAGGGAGCAGAGTATGGGGGGGGTCCACCCTAAATGCCCTGGCAGCCAGCAAGGAATGGGGAGCAGGCAGTGTTCTGGGGTGCCCCAAGATGATGATGGTGTCAAAGAATGGGGTACTCAGAATTTGAAGGCAGCAAGGGAGCCGCTGCCATAGGGTGTTGGGGGTCTGGGAGCACGTGGGGAGCACGTGGGGTCAGCAAGAGAAAGAAAACGTTATTAGGCTCAGGACCTGTTGATGTTAAAAATGGATCCCTGGGCTGAAACCTGACTGAGAATCCTGTCTTCTAGCTCAGGAATATCTGCTAAATTCTGAAGTGGACAGTGTCCTGCAAAGCTGGTGGGGGATGGAGTCCTGGCCTCCTCCAGAGGTTCAGTGGTCGGCGCAGATGACTCCAGTAGGTTCCGTGAAGGTGAGCACACACCTTTACCTTACTTTCTAAATGTGTTTTTCATGGAAAGTGGGGCACACACACACACACACACACACACACACACACGCACCCTATGCACACAGACCATTACCTGGTGACGGTCCTGTAAAAGCCCCCAGTCTCCAGCCCAGTCCCTTCCCAGTGTCTGTTTTTCAGTCTTTTTTAGGTGAAGCCTCCTGCTGTGTCCTGTTCTGTTCATTGTTGGACCCCATGCAGGAAGGCATGGAACCCTAGCTGAGGTTCTGCAGGTGGTCTCTGTCCCCACTTGCCCTTGCTCTGCCAGGCTGGCCTGGGCAGCCACCTTCCTCACCCAGCACTGACTCAAAGTTGATCACAGCCTGAGCAGCTCCGCCTGATCTCACTCTCACTTGTGGGCATGAAGCCTACAGGCTCCCTGGTGTCCCCACAGGCTATGAGAACTCTGTCCAGTACCATACCATCACATCCTCCTGAACCTCCCACATGGGGAAGGACACCCCAGTACCCTGCTTGACTGCAAGGGACACTCCCTCTCATCAGTTTTGCTCCCACAAAACCTCCCAGCCTTGGTCCTTAGCAGACCATTTCTGAAAAGTGTTTTGTTTCATTTTGTCTAGTTTCTACTTGTTTCTACTGCAAAACACCTGAATTAGCTCTCACCAGAGCTGCACTGTGCTGGCCCCGGACAAATTTCATTTAACTTACGAGATCTGAGGTCTGGCCAACCTGAGTTAAAACCCCAGCCCTGCCTTTGGTCACTCAGTGTGACAGTGGGCAAGTGTGTCATCTCCTCGTGGAAAAAGTGGAGATGGTGTTGTCTGATACAGTCGTGAAGATGCAAAGCAGGTTGGCAGAGCCTTGTGTGTGCCAGGGATACAGGCATGTGAAAGAACACAAGGGCAGCCATTGCTCCAGGGAAGCGTGCTTCTCTCTCAAGGTATTTCAGCCTATGATCTTCCCCGTCTTTCATTCCTGTGGCATCTCGTACTTCCATGTTAAACTTTTATCCATTTCAGGGTTGTTGGGACAATTCGATGACCTCACAGGCATTAAGTTTTTGTTACGGTCTCTGGCACAGGAGAGGTGTTCACAAGTGCTAGCTTCTGTGGTTGGTCTTTGTCAACTTGCTGACTGGTGGGTTCACTGCCAGTTACCTGTGTTCAGGTTTCATGTCTAGAAAGAAGAATGTTTTCTGTTTTCCTTCTCTTCTGGGAGAACTGACTTGCTTTGTGCCTTCCTGGTCGCAGCAGGTGGAGAACTGTGGCAATAGGAGCATTTGTAGGCACTGGGCAGGGTGAGCGCTTGCAATGTGTTATGGGGCTGGAGCATAGGAAGGAAGCAGAGCAGAGGTTGTGAGGCAAGGAGGAGCCCCACACTAGAGCATCCTCGCAAGGACCCAAGAAGACAGTGTCAAGTCCTGCTTTACACTGTGAAGAAAGGCATGAGGCTAAGTGGGTAGGTGGCTCAGGCTCATTCAGATCCCAGTCATTGAGTGACCAAGTTGGAGCTCCAACCCTGGTCACCTGTCTCAGAACTGGCATCTGACCACTCTGGGACCACATGGTGCTGGACATGGATAAAGACTCGATAGGTAGGGACCTCTTAGAGTTAAAGTGAAAGAAAGCCCAAGAAGCCTGTTTTTGCGGTTAAGGGTAGAAGTCCACGATGTGACCTCTGAGGAAGCAAGTAGAGGGACACGTGACTGATCAATGTGTGGCAGGGCCCTGGGGGCTCTTAGGGTCCCAGCTGATCCTGAGTCCTCAGGACTAAGACCACACAGGACACCCTGGAGGAAAACCCTGTCATATTGGATGTCATTTCCAGGCCGCAGGGGACTTTTGTTCTTGGTGGCAAGACTGTCAGCTGAAGCCTTTCCACCCCTGTGTTGACACAGTACCAGCCTTAGGAGCCCTGTGCACTGTGGGATGGGTGATTCCAGGTAGTGGCCCTTGAGCTGTCTTACAAGCTTTGACACCTTGCCTGGTTGAGGTTTTCGGCCTCAATCTTTGGCCTGTTCAGCTCTTATGAGTATCTGGGAACAGAGTTCCTGCCCTGGATGAGGACAGATTTTGAGCCAGATCTCAGGATGGCTTTGGAAAGTGCCTCCCACAGTGAGGACGGCTGTGTCAAAGGACCACACCAGTGACCTACAAGCAAAATAGCAAAATGAGGCCATGAAGCTTCGAAGGGCAGTGACTGAATTTGTCACTTGTCACGTCACAGTAATTGCATGGTGGTCAAGCTTAGAGTAAAAAAAGTGGAGGGTGGTTGGGAATGTATAAACATATGTGGAACAGGCTGGAAAACCTTCAGCCCCATCACACTGGCCCGATGCTCTCAGTTCCCCAACAGAGGACCACCTAGCTTCAGCACAGTGTGGCTGTGCAGGCTGGCAGCTGGGGTGTCTGCTTTAAGTCTCCACTTAGCTTCCTTTGCTGTGTGGCCTCAGGCCCATCGCTTAACCTGGCACCCCTCCCCCTTCTCTTCTTGTATAAATTAAATGAATCGATTCCTGTAGAGTGCTCATGACGATGCCTGGCCCACCATGAGTGCGCACCACGTGTTCACGGTCACAGTAAATTAAGAGAGAGGAAACGATCAACGTGACACTCCTCTGTCTCTACAGAAGTGGCCATGTTGTACGGCTCAGACGGTTTTCAATTCAAGGCAACATGCAGATTTCCAAAGTACTGTGTGCACAGTGCTCTGATCTAGAAGTGCTGTGTGCACAGTACTCTGACCTAAATGAAACTGAGCTCATAACATGCGGAGTACCCCACTTCTCCTTCTAAGCCCAGCTAAGATGCTCTAGGAGGCCTAGAGAAGAAAGATGGGGGCTGATATCCCATGGCTTGTATTACTTGGAACCAGTGGCTTCAGTCATATACATATAGAAAAGGAGTTTGGGGTCTTTGAAACTGTTAAGTTATCCCATTGTTCAGGGGACTGAGATGAATCTGTGCAGAGGGGTGCTGTGCACACTGGGGAGCCCTGGGGATACAGGCATGGGGCTAGCATCCAGGAGACACTGCTCCCTTTAGTGGGAAGGAAGTGTTCCCTGTCTTTGGGAACAAAGCCTTTGCTTTGTAGGGGGGTCTGTTCCACCAGCCCTGCCTGTATTGTCAACCCCAGCTCAGTGGCAGGGTGTGTCACCCCAGCTGTCTCCATTTCCTTGGCTGTTACTGGGTGATAATGGCCTGCTGGAACTGTCACAGGAGGGAATGAACACACAGTGAGTTTGATGCCGGCACAGAAAGTGCTGGGTAAGCATTAGCTGCCACTGTCATAACAGGTGCAATCCTCAGGTCCATAGTCAGGGGACACAGAGACCTAGCTTTGTGCTCTTGCCTCTAGCTGCGCTGCCCTTGGAGCCTAAGCTGGATTCTGGATGGTGACCATCAGAGGTCCCTGAGGAACCAGAACTTTCCCCAAGGTGTCTGAGGGACAGAGGTGGAATGCCCCTCCCTGCCCTGCTGGCCAGCAGCCTCTTGCCACCCTGCAAGGCCCAGAGGATCCTGGCTTCCCACCAAGAGCTCAGGCAGAGAGTCTGCAGTGATTCCCAAGCCAATAAATCACGGCAGTGGGGGTGAATTTGACAGGGCCATTTGCTCTCTGGGGACCACTTCATAGCCTCCATAAATATTTGAAGCAAAGCCATCTGAGAGTGTTTTAGCAAATCGCAGCAGTCAGCCCTCAGTGAGTGGGCAGTGGTTTGGCCTTTGCCTGAAAGGCTTGCGGTTGTGGTTAGGGCTGGGGAGCTGCAGACTACCCCACAGATTCTGGAGTTCCGCTTTGGTAGATGGGACGGCAGCAACGGAAGTATCTGCTTTGTAGAAACCTAGGAGGGACTGGACCACCGTGTCTCAGCCAGTCACATAGCCGCCCTTCAGGATAAGCATGGCAGGCCGTCCAGACCTCATGTCCCAGACCCTGATCCAGGACGTCCCACCAGGTATCATGCCCCTTTTGAGGGGAAGGTCAGAGCTCCCTCATCAAATGAGCTGTTCTTCCTAGAAGGACAGGGACAAAGGGTGGGAACCGAGGCTTGCTCCCCAAGAAGTAGGAGAAGATGCCGGCTTGGCTTTAGTGCGTTTTAGCTTTTAGTTTGAGACAAATTGTGCAGAGAGTTCTTGTCTTCCCTTTCTGCATTCCTCCCAATGTTAGCGTCTCCCAGAACAAACTACGTTGTGGATTGGGAGCAGCAGGTTTGGTTTTTAGGGGAAGGGGAGCCACTGAAGTGCAAGCAGAGCACAGAGCTGTGGCCACGTGTATTGGCTGGGGGCTCAGGAGGGGACCACGTTCATGCCGCATCCTGGGAGGCCCCTACTGCACCCACATCTCATTCAGTTGCCCGGCTCTCATGGTCCCTAGAAGAGCACCACCTGTCATAATGGAGCAGGGAAAGATGATTAGAAGATGCTCCCCCTCTTGGCTCAGGACTGCTGGCCTGTGGCCTTCTTACCACCCCAGTGGAGCCCACAGATTGGAAAGAACTGTTGTGAGCACTTGATATTTGTTTTACTTAAATTTACCTGTTACTGAGCATGATCATGTCTGCCACATCAGCCATGGTTTCTGAAGGCGAGATGCCCTGCAGAGCTGGGTGGGAACACTGGCTCGGTGACCACTCTTGTTCATCCTGTCCCTTTGTCTTAGGGTCGTGTCAATAGCACCGTGAGTTTGAACATCAGGATTGTGATATGCATTTGAGGTAGCAGGTGAGGGACAGCAGCCTGGTCTCCAGGATGCTCCCTTGAGGCTGAGAAACTGGGCATCATCCTGTCACTTCAGCTCCCTCTTCTTGCACTTTGGGTCTCAGACAGCCCAGCAGGACTATTCCGGAAGTGAGCCCTGCTGCTCAATGTAGTGATCGCAGACTAAACCACAAACCAGAAACTCCCACATACATTCCTTCCTGGGGTGCAATGAGAGTCTCTAGTTGGGGCTGCTGGGTGCTCTGGCTTCTGGACATGTCTGTGATGGATGCTGGCAGACTCATGCCTTCTCCTTCCAGGCTCGCAGAAGGTCACCTGGTGGCCCTGTGACACCTGTGGTGGGCTATGTTGTCAAATGCCCCAGGGTCAGGGCAAGATCTACTTTAAAGATACTGGGGGCCAGACAGGAACTTGGTGTGCAGGAGCTGGCGGCAGGCGCCCCACTGCTTAGGTCTCTGGAAGGGCCAGCAGACAGATCAGCCCTGCAGCTGTGGCAGAAAATAATTTATCAGCTGACTGTCAGCAAGCTCCGCAGAGGAATTCCCCTGGAGCCCAGCCAAAGCTATCCAGGTAAGTGTGCCCCTCCCCCAGCAGTGAGGCCGGTTCCTCAGGAAGCCTGGCTCTGCTTCTGTGGTTAGCTGGTGCTGTGCTGAGTGCTGTTTCTCTCCTTGAAGCCTCCTTCATCTTCTCATGCATCTGGGAGGCAGAGAATGTCCTGGACTGTGCTTTCTAGGTCTAACACCAGCCCCCACCTCCAGGTCCAGGCAGATCATGTGTAGACTGTGGCCCAGTGGCATTAGCAGACAGGATGGAGGGCAGGGCCATGGAGGAGGCAGCTGACCTACAAGAAGGCAAGGTCAAAGAGGAGAGGTTTCCAAGGAGAGGTGTCCAGGTGGCGCAGACACTGGAGCTGAGACGTCAGGGTCAGCTGCTCCCAAGCACAGAGAAAGCATTGGGTGCTGAAGATCTCTGCTGTCACACCAGCTGTGATGTGGGTGCTGTAGGTCTGTGCTGTCACACCCAGCTGTGATGTGGGGTGCTGCAGCTCTGTACCGTCATACCCAACTGTGATAGGCACACAATTCACTGACACAGACAAGCTCTACCCAGGAATGCAGCTGAGTTCAGGAGATGAAGGCTAGATCTCAACCCCAAGAGCGGACTCTCCAAAGATGACTTTCTCTGGGGCTAGCTGAGCACTGTGTAAACCGTGTGTGTCCGAGGAGGCTGAGGCCAGGGGAAGTGTGTAAAAGGGAGGATGCACAGGTTGAACTTGTGACACTTTGGTTATGAGGACCCATAACCAGGGGGATACCATCCAAGACTGGGCAGGTGTCAGGCAGGCATCCTTGTGAACCCGTGCATCCTTCCTGTGGTGACCTCAATGGATGTGGCTCCAGCAGAGTCCTACCACGGCTTGGGTTGACAGGTGTGCCTGCCCAGAGTTCCTCTTTCATTTGGCATTGCTTACAATTACTTTTGTTTTTATGGTCTTGACAAAGGCGGCTCTGTTTCTCTTGGCATCTTTCATATAATGAACATATTTACTTCTCTCCAGCAATGGCTGGCTCTTCTGCTTCAACCTGCTGGGTTCATATCTAGGAGGACGGGGTTGCAGAGAAGGCTGGGGAGTCATGAGCTGGGCACTGGGGATGGTTGGTAAAGCACTGGGAAGTGGGTGGCCTTCGGCTGAGCCCCAAAGGGCAATATAATGACGGGAGAAGAGGTGGTTGGTGTCGGGTCCAGGCAAGCAGGGACTCCAGCACTGAGCGTCAGCTCCATCCCAGTGCTCTGCTGTTTCTATTTTCTTTGTGGACAGGAAGCTAGACCTGGGAAGAGGGTATATGGGCAGACACAGGTGGAATGTGTGACCTGAGGACAAATGGATGGACAGACAGACAGACAGACAGACAGACACACACACACACACAGAGTCCACGTTAGCCAGCTGTGGGCCTTGAACCCTTGGAGGCCTGGCTTCCACTTGACAAAACATCACCATTATGACATCATCTTCCATCCTCTTGGCTGACACATCCTGGTGAGGTGACTCAGGACTGCCTTGCCCCACAGCTATCACAGCCCAGGTGCCAGGCTCTTGGACTGAGGTGACTTAGGAGCCAAGCATGCCCATCACTCCTGCTCTGAATTCTGGCTCTGCCTCTTATACCTCCAGGGTCTCAGTGTTCTGACCTGTGGAATGGGGCTGTCTGGCTCCCAGCATGCCCGAGAAGAATGAATCACTCTTTGCAACACTAATGGCCCCGTCACATGAGAACCACAGTGTTTCTGCTGCTGTGTGACTGCTTTTTATAATCCAGGGCACAGGATGTAGAGCACAGTGATGGAGAGGTGGGTGGGGCTCAGCAGACAGGCTCCCCCGGGGGCCCTGGCAAAAGATGTTAGTATAAGGTGCCTGTGCTGCTCTGGATTTCGTGTGGCAGTTTGCAAGTGTCCCCTGGACCAATGAGTCATGACAGCTCCCAGAGTCACCGTGACACACAGCAATGGGGTAGAGCTCTTAGGATTTCAAGTCTCCTGAGTGCCCTGTGCTTTTACCCTGGTTAAAATGCAATCAGTGTGGCACAGGGTGTGGGCCTAAGCTGGGGATCAGCATGTAGAGGTTCTCTGTGATCCTCCATCAAGTGCTATGGCATCTTAGCATCAACCGTAGTGACAGTCAGTGCAACCTTAGGCACTCTGCTTGGCACTACTAAGGTCAAGGGATCAAAGGACGGTGGTTTGGGTAGAAGAGGGGCCCAGGAAGGCAGGGAGCTGGGAGTCCAGAGCTGCCTCCTTTCTGGTCTATGAAGAAGGGCCCTAGTGAGAAGAAGGCCATGAGGTGGGCAGACAGGAAGGGCAAGCTCTGAGCACTGGGGTGGAAGAATTAGGGTGACGGTGTAAAAGTGACTCAAAACTGGCGTCCGAGCTGGAGGTGGTTGTGCATGCCTATAATCTCAGCACTTTGGGGATGGAAGCAGGAAGGTCTCTGTAAGTTCAAGGCCAGCCTGGGCTACATAGCAAGACCCTGCCTCTTAGGAAGGGCGAATGGAAGGAAGGAAGGAAGGAAGAAAGAAAGGTTTCATTTTGGAAAACATTTTAGTATGAAGTGTCAAATATTTACAGAAGCAAACAGAATAATAAAAAAGATCATGCGTGTTCATCAGTTTCAACAAAGGTCAGCTGGAGAGCATGTCCTTCCTCAAGGCCCAGCCCCCTTTCAGTGCCCTGACCCTCATGTCCTACCTCTTTTTTCCACCCACTTTATTTGGAAGTGAAGCCAGATACCACATCATTTAATTCACAAATTTCTCAAACACTTATCATTCCATCATCGTACCCTAAATAAGTGATGGCTCTTTAATTTTATCAACATCCAATATGTTCAAATTTCTAATTATCTTATAAATTATATTGGCAACTTTTTTCAGTTTATTTGAATTTGGATCTAATTACTTCTCACTGTAGCTGACTGGCATCTTTTTTGGTGGATCTAACCAAGACAAACTTGCTTCCCTAACCACTGAGTGCAGTCGCCTGTTGCACTCTTGCCCAGATCATTCCTGTCTTCCTAAACTGAAGCTCTGTCCCTGTGAGCACAAACATCCTGCCAACCTATTTTCTGTCTTGATGAAAGTGGGGTTTGTCCCTGTTTTCCTGGCTTGCTGGACTTAGTAAACTGTCATCAAGTACACATGTGTGGTAATGGGTATCAGAATTTCCCTCCTTTTAAAGGCTGAACATGCTTCCACTGGGTGAGCTTACCACAGTTTGCCCATCCACCCCCTGTCTGTCCATCCATCCATCTATCCATCCATCATCCATCCATCCATCCATACATACATACATACATACATACATACATACATAC